TTTTCGTTCGATACTCCAAAATCCATGTTTTCCATATTGTTTTCCGACCTTCTTTCATCGTCACTGTTTCCCTCATCTAGATATATCTGTTCAGTTTCGCTGCCACTAGATTTTTTCTCGTTTTCATCGTCACTTCCGTTATCACTGATCTCATCTCGAACACTCTTTGAAATATCTACAATTTCATTACTTGATTCTACTGGCAAATAATCCTCTTCCTCATTTTCCTTGTGTTCACTCTGCTCATTATTCACATCTCTAGGATATTCATCTATATTTTTATTTGTAATATTCGGAAGTTTGGCGCTAATAACGCGATTTCTTCCATCGCTTTCTCTCTCCTCACCACCCTAAAATATATTAACGTAAATGAAAAATCGGTTTAAAAATTTAATAATAATAAAGTTAATTATGAAAATCGTAACCACTTTTGATGAGAGTCTTGTGCGATAACTCGACGTTATTTCATCATCTAAGAATACAATCATTCAAAGGATCAATGACTTGAAGAAACCTGACAAAAGTAAAAGTTATATTACCATCACTTTCTTTCTTTCTTTTTTCCTTGTTATTCAATCGCAATAGAGAAATAGGTATTAACATAGTTGAAGAAATTAGAATAAACAGTTAAGTAATGAACTAAAATCAGTAAGATAATAATTTGTTTAAGAAATTAAATAATAATAAAATGATAATACTGTAGTAATATAATTATAGTAGTAGTAATAATAATAGTAATAATAATAGATCTTTTATAGCAAATACCCTTGTTTTAGGAATCCTATCTTTCTTGAATGGTTCTTCAACAGGTTTGGTGATTACTTCTGTAGCATTACTTTGAGATGAACCGGCTTTCGTCCTTTTATATTGTGGTTTATATGTTTTTGTGACATTGGGTCGATTATTCGAAGTCATATATCTTTTGACTGGGTCGCTTGCCGAATCTACCACAATATCACTGACATGAGTTGATCTCGCTTGATTTTTTGATGGTGTTGAGTTAGTCGATGAGATAGACGATTGTCTGGATCGACGGAAATTTTTGGAATTTTTGGATCGACTCATTGAAGGCAATGAAGAAGAAAACATTGCCAAAAAAATTTCAATTTTTATTACATTTGGCACATGATTGATGATCGCAACTCCGAATTTAAACTAAGAATTTCAAAGATAAATTTACCAGACTAAATCTCGGCATCTGTTATACCAAAAGCTAGGAAATCATACATAACCGATTAATGAGACACTGAGAGAAATTCAAACACGTGCGAAGAATCCACATCTTCCTTAAGTGCTTTAGAAATTTAACTTTTTTCTTAAAGAAATCACATATACTTATCATCTGGATAAAACGCGTCTTTTTGCAATTTGTACTGTGAAAAACTATATAGATGAATACATGACCACCCCTCTCGTTAATGAGTCCAATATATCTTTTGTATAAAACCTCTGATTTTTTTTTTTTTCAAATAATATTAATATGGTTCAAATAAAAATTTCAAAGTTTTAATAAAAAATGTGTTTACATTATATAGTATATAAAAAGTATTGTTTAACATTATATAATGAGAACGATATTGAAAAAAAATTTGTTTTCGATATTTTAATAAATAAAACATATACAATTAAAACGAAATATTATTATTATTATTATTATTTCAGTCAAACGAGTACGTGATGTTTATTTAAAAAATGAAATTAATAATATTATTATTTCAGTCAAACGAGTATGTGATGTTTATTTAAAAAATGAAACTAATATTATAATCTCAACTCTTCGAAATTCTGATTGCATAGGTCTTTGAGAAAAAAAAATTGTTTTTTAACAAATTCAATCACATTCTAGATGTTAACTCATAGTTAAAGCGCTTCCTTTGACTACTTGCCGACCTATTATTTCATTAGGACAGAATATTTCGAGTCACTGATATATTAATCTATAATGAAAATAGAAATTTCTATATATCATCAATATTTTCGATTCAAAACTTTTTTCGAGATCACCATTTATCTAGTCAAATGATTAGTCAATGAACCAACAAATTTTTGGAAAAATTTAGAATCGAGTCTTTTCTCAGAATGAATATAGGAAGCAAACTCAATATAAGTCTTATTTATTTATTAAATTAGACAATTAATTAACGACCTTTTCGCTTCAGGCTATAAATAAGTTATTCAGAGGAAATAGTGATTATAATGTAATACTGGATCTATAGAAAAATTTTTGTAGGCAAAGTATTATTCTATATAATCTTCAATTGGAGGACATGAGCACATAAGATTCTTATCGCCAAAAGCATCATCTGAGTTGTGTAATAATGATGGTTAGAACTAAGCAATTCATTAAATAAATAAATAAATAAACAAGCTTACCAACTCTTCCAACAGTGGGCCAGAATTTTCGCTCCCTCAAATATTTTATAGGGAAAGCAGCCTCTTCTCTTGTATATGATTTATCCCACGTATCCTTAACCAAAACTTGTATTGTATGTGGTGAATTCTTAAGCACGTTATCTTCTTTTGGTTGTGAACCCTGTTCAATCGAATTAATTTCTTTTCTAATTGAAATCATCGTATCGCAAAAACGATCCAGTTCTGCTTTCGATTCAGACTCGGTCGGTTCTATCATCAAGGAATTAATAACCGGCCAAGACATAGTCGGAGAATGGAAACCATAATCCTATGAAAAAGGATTTCTTATTGTAAGTTTCGCGCCCGTAATGACGAATGTAAAAAAAATCAATATTTTACCTGGAGACGTTTGGCAATATCAATAGCTTGTATGTTCGCGCTGTTTCCGAAAGGACCAATGTCAACAATAAATTCATGTGCACACATGTCATTTTTGTTGGTATATAAAATCTTGTAATGATTAGCCAAACGACGCGCTAGATAGTTGGCATTAAGCAATGCTAATTGAGTTGCGGATTTAAGTCCTTCTCCACCTATAATAAGAAAAAATTATAAATAACGTAACAACGGCAAATGTTGCAGTTGGTAATATAGGCAATCACCCATCATTTTAATATAGGCCCATGAAATAGGTAAGATGTTTGCAGAACCGTAGGGTGCCGCAGCTACGGGACCAATACCCTTTCCGCCGCCGGTCTCTACAATAGGATGTTTTGGTAAGAAAGGCACAAGATGTGATTTCCTGTAAAATGTTATATTGTTAAATGGTTTACTTTCACACTGAAGCCAACATACGACCTGATACCACTTACACTCCGATAGGACCCACACCAGGACCCCCGCCACCATGAGGAATACTAGAGGAAAATTAGTATAATTTATAAAAATAAAAAGAACTAATAGAAAGAAATTCATATACCAAAATGTTTTATGCAAATTCAAGTGACAGACATCTGCACCAATGGTAGCTGGATCACATA